ACACCTTAATGGGCCTTGGAGGGGATTAACAATCTAGCAAGAAACCCAAGAGCTCCTTGAAAGCAAGCCCCATGCCTTAACCATCTCGCTATTCCTAGCACTTAGCCAGTGTGTGACAAATGCCCGGTGAATAATTCTTTATGTGTTTGGGGAGCTGTAACTTTTTATATCTTGGCTTTCCTGAATGTGACCCTGCAGGCACATAGCTATTTTCCCAGGGGCCTGCGTGAGAGATCATTAGCCCCATTTTACAGGTGCAGAGACTGATGGCCAGAAGAGACAGTGACTTGCTCAAAATCACATATAAAGTTAGTGGCAGGGCTGGGCTAGAAGCCAGGGCATCTGCAGGGCAAGGTGCGGTCTCGCTCTAACAGCCCCAGCCCCAAGCACAGCGGAGATGGGAGTGGTTGTGAGTGGCACTGGCCACTGTGAACAGAGAGGCTGGAGTGCTGCGATGAGAATGATGAAGAGGATGGAGAAGAAATTTACAGTAAGAGCTAACACTTAAGGAACCCCTGTCCTGTGCCAAGTCCCTCAGGTAAATTAACTCGTCAAATCCTCACAACATCCTGTGACATGGGGACTGCTATTCACTCCAATTTACAGACAAGGAAACTGAGGCACAGAGCAGTCATGTCACTTGATCAAGACCATCCATCAAGTGGTAGAGCCAGGATTCAAATCCAGGCATTATCACTGCAGTGTCCAAAAGCTTAACCACTATGCTTTACTGTCTCTAAAATGATAGTTAAAATTATCATTTATTTTCTCAGTTGCCAATTCTTTACATTGCTGCTGCCATTCAATCTTCACAGCAACCCCATTTTACACATAAGGATGCTGAGGCTCTCAGGGGTTAAGCAATTTGCCCAAGGTCGCTCAGCTGGTAAGAGGCAGAGCCAGGAATTGAACCTTGAATGACTCCTGCTCTATCTCCCTTTTCCTACTCTTGGTCTCTGGTTTGCAGCCAAGGCCTCCCTCCAGCCCCATGTCTTCAGCACCACAGGTGTGGACAGCACCCGGGCCAGCCCCGCACAAAGTGCAAGGCTAGGGGAGGCCCGAGGAGGCTGGGCAGAAGGATGGAGGAACGGCTGACAAATCAAACCCAGACCCCCGGGGCTGAACAGGTATGTATGGATATATATACTGCCGTTTATTTAACCAACTGATAGATGTTGGGTGTGCTCAACCTTTTGCTGCCACAAACAATGAGTAGCCTTGTACATCAGTCATGTTGCAGTGTGCAGGTGTGTCTGTATGATCAATTCTAGAAATGGGTTGCCAGGTTAAAGGATGAGTGCATTTGGAATTTCTGCAGAGAGCTCGATGTCCCCCAGAGGGCTGTTGCACTGGCCCTCCCCCGCCATGCAGGGGAGGGCTGCTTCCTGGTGGAACATAGCAGCTGCTCCCTGCTCCCTCACCCTCTCTGGGCCTCCATATCACTTTGTTTAGCACGTTACTTTGAAGTGGGGGAAAACAGGAATAAGTTCCTCATTTGCTTGCATGTGCATAAAGTAACTCTGGAATCAACCAGACGCTAATGAAGGCGCCGACCACCCTCAGCACTCACTCCCACTGGCCTGAGTCGTCAGCAGCAACCTTCTAACTGCTCCCCCCCACCCCCCCAACCCCAATCTCTCCTTGACACAGCAGCCAGGGAGCCCATCAAACCCCAATCAGATCACATTACTCCCCAGGTCAAAACGCTCCACTGGCTCCCATCTCATTCCAAAGTCCTTACAACGGCCCTCAATTTACCCCTCTGACCCGCCTCCTCCCTCCCTCTGCTCCAGACACACTGGTCTCCCTGCTGTTCCCTGAACACGCCAGCTCCCCGCCTGGTGGCTGTTCCCTCTGCCCCCAGACATCCACATGGCTCATTTCCTCCAAGTTCTGCTCAAACAGCACCTTCTCAACTAGGGCTATCCTACTGCACTCCCTTTTCCTGCTTTATTTTTTTTCCCCAGTAGAGTGTATCACTGTCTAATGTAATGTCTACTGTGAATGTCTCTTTTCCCACTAGAACTTAAGCATTGGGAGGGCAGGGACTTTGTTGGGCTGGTCTTGTTCACTGCTGTACCCCCAGCAGCTAGCACAGTGCCTGGCACATAGTAGGCACTTAATAAATATTTGGTGAATGAATGAATGAATGAATGAACAAATGAATGTCTGAGAAGTGGAACTGAGCAAATAGGGGCAGGGCGGGAATTAAACTTTTCACTAGGTACAATCCTGTTGGGTCTGGGGGGTGTAAGGAATCAGGCATGGCTGGGGGTCCAGACAATGCCAAGGGAGAGTGTGAGGCGAGGTTGTGCCCACCCACCCAGGCTCCGCACCCCAGGGTGGTGTCCCCTGAGAGGGGCCTGGGGAGGAGTGGTCCAGCTTGATTGCCCTGAACTTCCACATGGAGCTGGCCTGTGCTCAGGAAGGTGGGGGCAGCTGGGAGCCCCCTTGACACCCACCCCTGATGGGAGCCCTCCCCCTACATCCCGAAGGCCAGTGCCCAGTCTGGTTCTCTGCCACTTAACACCTTCTCGGAAGGGTATCCCCGACCCTCATGTTTTTTACCCCAGGGCAGAAATCAGTTCACGTGTGGGCTCTGCTATTTGCTGCCAGGGAGTGGGGGGGTCCAGAGCTGGGCCCTCTCACCCCAGAAAGAGGCCTGTGAGTTGCTTGGGTAAGCTCTGGCCTCTGCTGCTGGTCCCCAGGGAGCCCTGTCCAGCTCCCCCGCCCATAGTTTTCCAATCTGTGAAATGAGCCATTTCATATCCCTTCATGGGTCACCGAAGTCTCAGTACGCTTTCCCCTGAAAAATGTCCCCAGCCACCACATTCACACTTCTACATATAACACCAGGGGGTCAGGGCCCCAGGGAGCCCATAAGAAAGTCCAGGTAAGTCCTCTCCCTCCCCTTGGTCCTTTGACACAAATACAGACTCTGCCAAACATTCTATTCAGGGTCAAAAGGAGGAGGAGAATATTCTCAAGTCTTTTCGTCTTCCCTCATGGTGCAAATTCTGGCTACATCCCCTCTTGCTGTGTGGCCTAAGCTGTGGGGTCATACACCTGCCTAAGCCTCAGTTTGCCCATCAGTAAAATGGGGTGAGAATGCCTGTTTAACATGATGGGTTTCTGTAAGAATTAAAGGGGCACTTCCTACAGTGCTTGGCACAGAGCAGATGCTCAGGAAGAATCTGCTGGGCAGAGGGGCCTGAGACCTTGGTTCCGTCCTGGACCCCGACAACTCTGCACCGTCTTGAGTGAGGCTGTACTCTCACTGAATCTTGGTTTTCTATGCTGGACATGGGGGCCGTTTTGGCTTTGCTAAATCTTACCCCCAGAACCTGCCTGAGCCAGGAAGGACCTTGGAGATCACGTGGGCCAGCCCTGACATTTCCCAGGTGGGAGACTGAGAGGGGGAGCTGAGACTTTCCCAAGATCAAGCAGCAGAAGCTGGAAACAACATTCTTCCCACTGCCCTGCCCACCAGGGGCAGCCTGGGGTTCCCCGTGCTGCCGGGCTCCGCTTCTGGCTCCAGCCTCTGTCTCAGCCTCCCCTCCCAGCTGGTGCAGTCTGCCCCTCCCCCAGGGCACATCCTTGGTGGTTATGAATAGCTGATGCTGCCGCCCGCCTGCAGCTGGTGCCCAGAGTTGGGACAGACCCTCCAGCCAGGCCCTGTGGGGAGGTGGGAGCCCTGGGCCTCCTCGTTCCCAGCCTACCTGTGGCAGCCCCTGTGGGTGTGGGAGGAGGCATGAGCCTTGTTGCTGGGTGACGTGGGCAGCCCGGCACTCAGGGGCCTCGGCTGGGTGTCCACCAGTGGACAGGGGCCGGCCAGTGGGGAGATGGCTGGGTGAGCAGAGGCTCCCTGAAGAGATGAGCCCTTCCTTAGCTAAGGCCTTCACCTGTCCGCCGTTCCCTGAGCCCCTACTGAGGGACGGAAGTGGGGATGTAGCCTAGCTTAGGAGCCTGGAGCCCAGATTCAGCCACCCCTGGGTGGAACCAGGTCACCAGCATGAAATTTTGGGTAAGTCACTTACTTTCTCTGTGCCTCCATTTCCTCATCAGTAAAATAGGGTTAATAATACTTTAAATAGGTTGAAGTATTATTAATAATAGCTGACATTTATGAGCCACCTAAAGTGTAAGTATTTTATACAGATTGACTCATTCAAACCTCATAACCATCTTAGGAGAAGCTGCTATCGCTATTCCCATTATATCCCTCACAGCTCAGGAACCCGAGACTCAGAGAAGGGACGATTAAGTAACGTGTCCAGTGGCACACAGCTAAGGCGTGGCTTAGAGAGATCTGCCTGGCTCCAGAACATTCAGTAAATATTTGCCAAGCACCTACTATGTGTTTGGGTCTGGAATACATTCACAAACCAGACAAACAGCCCTGTCCTCAAGGACCTTATATTCTAATTTGGAGACAGACAATGATAAAGGTAAGTAAGAGATGTCAGTCAGACAGTGAGAAGTCCTAAAGGGAAAAACAAAGCAGGGAGAGGTGAGGAAACGCCGGGGGTGGGGAACAGGATTGTAGATGGTGGGGTGAGGGGGGTCAGGAAAGGTCCCTGAGAAGGCTACAAGCACGTGGAGACTGGATCTTGTAGGAGAAGAGCCCTGCTGGCAGAGGCAAGGGGGGGATGGCAAGGGCTGTGCTTGGTGCGCTCATGGAACAGTGAGGAGGCCAGCATGGCTGTGGAGTGGCGGGTAAGGGGCAAGGGGCCAGAGCGGAGTGTAGAGGTAAGGGATGGGGGGCAGTGGGCAGGGCCTTGGAGGCCATGGCGAGGACCTGCCTTTCACTTGGAGATGCATGCCAGACTCCGGACCTGGGCAAAGCCTTCCTGAAGCCAGCCCATGTGCCAGGCCCTGAGAGGCCAAGAGACAGCAGGAACCCGACTCCAGTGCACTCGGAGACCCCCAGTCCAGCCCCCAGCAGCATCCCACCACTGTCCTTGGAGGGGCTGAGTGAGGAAGGAATAGGGGAGCCTTACAGACTTCCTTCGAAGATTCCTCTGTGCTGCAGCTCTCGGCTGTCGTGGCCCCAGGTGAGAAGAGGTGTGCGGGCAGTATGTCCAGGAACGCAGCCAGGGCCCAGGTTAGGTTCTGCCGGGTCCTTCTGGCTGGCCGTGGCCTGTGGACTATGTGTGAATGATGGAAGAGCGGGCAGAATCTTCTCCGAATCCTAGATATGGAAGCTTGAGTAAAGACCTTCACCCCGAGCCTCCATTTTTTTTTAAAACTGTACAAGTGGGACTACCATTTCTGCTCAGGGCTTCAGGGGACTGATAGTAACAGCAAACCATAGAGGGTACTCGGTGCCATTCATAGCACTCTACAAACCCTCATCACTTAATCTTCACTATGAGCCTACAAGGCAAGTACTAGTATCATCCCCCTTTTTGTAGTTGAGGGATCTGAGGCACAGAGGCTAGGCACCTGGCCCAAGATCACACAACGAGTTTAGAGGCTGTGCTTTTGGCCACTAACCCATGTTAACTGTTGGCCCCACTCCCTCCCAGACACACTTGGGTTCAGGGCTGGCAGGTACCCAAGCTCTCGGGATGGGATGATCTCCCTGCAGGACTGTGGGCTCCAGTTCGAGAGTAGGAAGCCTTCCTGCTATGTTGGGGGGCCCAACAGACCAGAAGCTACCCTGGGGCAGGGATCTGTGCAGCTTCAACAGGGCCTGACCAGGAGGAGGACGAGGCAGCTCTGTCCTGTCCAGTCCCCACCCCTGCCCCTCAGGGCCATCCCAACACCCAGAGGCAGGTGGAACATTCTCTGCCTCTCCCAGGACTGGCTAAAGCCACAGGGAAGGAGAGCAGGTGCAGTGGGGAGTCGCAGTGGCTGGACCCACTCATTTGCATACCCTGCTGCGGGTGGCAGAAGTATTAAGCAAACACTTAAGTAGCAGGCAGAGCTAAAAGTGCTTTATCATTTAATCCTCCCCACAACTCCAGGAAGGAGCTAGTATTGATATTATTCCCATTCTACGTGAGCAGAAACTGAGGCACGGAGGACACTGCCTCATCCAAGGTCACACAGCCAGTGAGCGGTCGAGGCAGTCTGATGCCAGTTTCACCGAAACCTTTGGGGGTTCACAGAGCTGGGCTCAAATCCCCACTCTGGGTTAAGGAGGTGCTGCTCTCGGTGCTAAATGAGAAAGGATGTCCAGTGGCCGGTGTGGGGCACTTGACACTGAAGAATGCTTCCCTCCAACCCTGATATTACATGGTTCCCTGAATGGGGCTCAGCGGGGAGTCTGGACTTGTCCCCTCTCCAGACTGTGGCCAAGCTATATGGTGGGTGGAGGGGAGGATGGGGAGAGGGTGGACAGGAGAGGAGAGGGGGCTCTAACGGGCCCCACCAGGCCTAACGCCACAGCTTCCTGAGACCTAGAAGGGGGACGAAGGGAATAGGGGAGGGAGGGGGTAGTCTGGAGAAGACTAGATCTGTTGGAGATGCTGGTCCTGGCTCTGGCCAGAGGCCCATCTGCCTGGAGGAGGAAGCCTGGGGACAGAAGCCTGGCAGGCACCTCACCTAGAAAGCAGCTCTGGGCAGGAAGAGGACCTCGACTACAGCTGCCATATGTATGTCTCACCCCTCAGGCTTGACTCTCACCCTACCCCACCCGTAGCAGGGGCAGGTAGGTCCTTAAGCACCACACAGAACTGCCTCTCAAACACCTGCTTCACCTTTCCTGGGGACCAAAAGCCCTCTGGCTCCCCCAGAACAGCTATAGGAAGACCAAGAAGACATTACCACCAAGGGTTACTTACCCACTTGCCAATGTGCCCTTTCCAATAGGAGCCAATAGTTTCTGAGCACTTTTTACATGACAGACCCTGTCCTAGGCCCTTTTCATGCTTTAGCTCACTTAATCCCCCTGTTGACCCTGAGGTAGGTATTATCCTTGTTTTCCACATAAGCAAAATGAAGCTCAGAGAGGTTAAGTGACTTGCCTGAGATCACACAGCAGCTAAATGGAATTCAGACCCAGAAGTCCAGAGCCTGTGCTCTCAACTGTAGTGCTCTGCTGTCTCCTTTGGGCTCGGGCTGCTGTAGGCCTTCATCCAGGAAGATGGCACACTCCCTTCCAGGGCCATGCCCAGGGGCTGGGGCCCAGTGCTGACTCCTGACCCCTGGCTCAGCTACTTAGTATCACTCACTGGTTTCCTTAATGTTTAGTCATGTATGTCAATGTTTTTGCATGACTTCTGCATCTAGGCCCGCACGTCTCCTGCCCGACCAAAACTACAGCAGTTTGGACTCAGTCCTAGAAAGTTAGAACAAGGAGGAAGATTATGGCTGAGGGAACCTCTAGTCCAATTCCTCCCTGACACATGGGTAAACTGAGGCCCAGAGGGCAGACCTCCCTCAAGAGTCCTCAGTAGGACCTGGGTCTAGAACCTTGGACTTTTGCTCCCGGGCAAGTAGGACAATTAAAACAGGTTTTTGCTGGCTGAATCCTTCTAATCTAGAGGAGGGGGCACAAGATGGGGCCCAGAGTGGAAAGTGGGACCAGGCTGGAGATGCTTCTGGCTGGAGGAATCCAGGCTCACTTCACCACTTAGCCCTAAAAGCCTCGGAGGGACACTGCTCTGTACAGGTTCTAACTTGGCCATGGGGGAGGCAGGAAAGACACATGTGTGCAAACACACACAGACAAAGGTCACCCTCTGAGCAAACATTTTCTGGCCTCTACCCTAGGCCTGCAAGACCAGATGCCTATAAGAGGGGCCAGCAGGTCATGGAAAGGAGTGAACAGGCCAGGTGGGGCCTGGGTCAAGCTGCAGGGTGATAGCCAATCTAAAGAAGGTTGTCATTCTTTGGTTCTCGCCTGGGCTTATCACAGCATCTGATTTTTCAAGAGGATCCAAAAATCAGTATTTGTGTGTGAAACTGTATGTTTGTTTAGCATTGGCAACAAATACAAACATGAGAAAAACACTGTTTGGATCAACAAAATGTGTCTAGCAGTTGTGTTTTACAACATGTGCTACACAATATGCTGGGCTCTGGGTTAGACAAAGCCGATGCAGCAGGGAGGGCGCAGACCTGGTCCCGCCTCCTGGAGATCGGAGATCGGAGTCTGGATGTGGAGACACACTCTCACAGCACACACAGACACGGGCCACCGTCTCCCAGCCACCAACCATCCATCAGTCTAACTCTACTCTCCACTCTGTACCAGCCCAGGTCAGATCAAAAGGGGAGGTGGAGAGCTGCCCTTGAGCCATCCTATAGTGGGGCTTTCCAGGTCAGGGGAACAGCACATGGTAGAGGGAAGGACAGACATGAGGCAGAAGTAGAGGCTGGAGAGTGAGGAGCGGGAACTGGCACTCAGGAGGTGGTTTCGGGCCACACTGCAAAGGGCTTTGATGCCGCTTTATTCCAGACTCAACGGGGAGCCTCTGCAGGTTATCGAGGAGGGAAGATCTTACTCCCTTGTCCCCCTCTGGCCTCTTGATGGTTTTCCCTAGTCACAGTGACTCAAATCTCCACTCTTTAGCCTCTCACTCCACTCCCTTGCTGGTGGGTCGTCTGACAAGGCCCTGGGCTCTTGGGAACCCCCCAGGGGAAATGAACTCCTTTAGAGATGGAGAGGACACACCTGGATGCTTCTGCCGCCCAAGGGCGATCCACATCCACCCCACCGGCTACAGAGTGAGTGGCCCACTGCCGTTATCTCTGGGAGATGCCACATGCTTGCCCAAGGTCACCCAGTCTTCAGGGCAGTTGGCTCCCCCCACAGCCTGGGCTGAGGGGGACTGTCTCAACTGTCCTTGAATTTGAAGGTGGGGCTGCCAGGGCTCTGGCCTGGAGCTCCCCAACCTCTTCTCTGGCTGATCACATCCTACCCCTTAGGTCCATGCCAGCAGCAGGTGGGGGTGGGGGCACTTGGTACTGGGAAGCGGGGAGAGGAGTAAGCTGCTGCCCAGGCTCAGTGCCCCCAAGTCTGCAGCACTATGTGGGCCCCAGGGTGAAGTGTGGGACCAGGCTGGGGATGCAGATCCTGCTGAGGATCAGGTGCTTCAGGAGTGGGGTCAGAACCAGTCAGCTGGGCCTGACCAGACCCACCCCAACTGATCCAACCAAGCACAGCCTGGGCAAATTGAGAACAGCCCAGACATCTGATGAACAGGAAAGATCAGGAAAGAGGATGAAGTGGGAAAAAGGACCTTGACTCCAGGGCCTAGTACATCACAGACACTAGCTAAAGGTTTGTTGAATGAATAAGTGAACAAAGGAACTCCTGGTGGGGCTACCTGTGCTCAGAGTCCTACCTTCTTCAGCATCACTGCTCGCCTGCAGAGGGCTCAGAGAGAGGAGGCTGGTGGAAACGCCAGCAGCCCAGAGTGTGTTCCCTCGGCATGGTCCAGTCCCTTCTTACGATCTCTGATCCAGAATTCCAGGATAAAACATCCCCTGGGCCTCTCATCCTCCCATGAGCTGCAAGGCCTGGAGTTCAGGACCACTGAAGGCCAGGCTGGGGTACTGCTCTGTACACCACCTATAAAGCTACAGCGAGAACCTAGAATGGTTCCTTGGTTGTCCAGGATACACTGACCCCACCTGAGGTTTGGCCCTGGGTGTTTTGGAGGTCAGGAGCAGAAGGGAGGGCCTTGGGTTTGCTGCCCCTGGGGTACATGGGGACAGAAAGGTGCCCTGACCTGAAATGGCTTCTTCTTCCAGACTTCCTCCCTTCCCCAGAAACCAGAGCCTCACTTTGGAAAGGGCTTGTCCCTTCCTGTCCTGAAGGGAGCACGAAGCATGGCCTGGGTGAAGACACCCCTTCCCAGCCTGGGTTGGGGGCAGTGGAATCACAGAGAAAAGAAGGGAATCCCACCCATTCTCTCAAACACACCCCTTCCCTGTCTCTCGCAGACAAAGACACACACCCAAAGCCCCATCCATCACCCTAGGGCCACACACTGCAGGCCCCCTCACCTGTGGACACCTCAAATCTTCTCTTCCCAGGGGGGGACTTCACTTGAGAACTCAGCCTGGCCTTTGGGGGAGGGGTATATACACTCCAAGGACCAAGGATCCAACAGCTCCAGGCTCACAATTTTGGGGGGTGGACTCCTCACCCTCTTCCCCCTTCTCTGTGGCGCAAGGGTCTCTGCCACCACTCCCCCGCAGGGCCGGGAAGCTGTGCCCAAACCCCAGGGCCGGGGTGTGGGGTGGGGGAAGGGAGAGGAGGAGGGGGCGGCTCCTCCAAGCGAGACACAAAGAGACGTCCTTCAGCCTCGGCTCCATGGCGACGCTGGGGAGGGGGCGGTGCGCACCCAATACTTCCTTCCCCACCTGCAGGGCTAGGGACCTCGGCGGCCACTCACCTGCTGCCCCTCACCTGGGCCCGGCTTACCTGGGCTGGGGCCGCGGGGACGCCGCGGCAGGGGGCCTGGGCGCCGTCTCGGTTTTCGTCGTCAGCCCGGCCCGGGGGGCTCAGGGCGCCACAACCATGGGCTGGGATGAGAAGGGCGCCGCGAGGGGCTCAGTCGCCCCAGTCCTGGAGCTTTGGGGGGGGGGTGTCCCAGAGGCCTCTTGCTGGTGAGGGATAGCTCTTGCTGTCCTCGGGTCCCTAGATTTGGGGTTTCTGTGAGCCGGAATCGGGGAGGGGGGGAGGTCTAATACCCCTGATCTAGGGGCGTTCTGAGCTGGGTCTTCGTGTCTTGAGGTGTGGAGTTGTAATGGCCAGGATCTTGAGAAGGGGTCCCCACAATCCCGGACAGGGGGATCACTGCGTTCTAGGTCTTGTGGGGGCCCAGACTGAAGAGGGGGTGTCTTCGCGGAACCGCAGGGAGGTCGCTGTCTTCTGAATACGGAGGTAGTCTCCGCCTTCCCCGGCTGGGGAATAGCTCTGTGTTGGATCTGGAGGGGCCACCCGCTTTCCTAAGGGTCTCTGGGTCCTGGATGTGGTGGGGGGATCCCCACGCTCCCCGGCTGCGGGGGCTTGCAGAGTCCCGGCCACCGCAGGAGCTGGGAGGAAGCCCCTCAGCCGCTGGGGGGCTCCGTCGCCGCCGCTACGAGCAGCCCGGCCCGGCGGTCCCGGCCCCCGGCCTGGTCCGGGCTCTGGCTGCGGCTCCTGCTCGCGCTCCGCCTGGTGCTCGGGCCCCGGCCCCGGCGCCCGCCCGGGCTGCGCTCCATCGCGGCATCGCGGCTCCGCCCTCCGGCCTGCGCGCACCTGCCCGCCTGGCCCGCGGCTCCGCCCTCTGGCTCGCGCGCCGCCGCCCGCCCCTTTGTCCGCCCCGCTTGGCGCGCGCCCTCGCGCACGCGCACTAACTCCGGCGCGCTCGCGCCCTCCCGCCGCGCCCTCCAGCCGCGCGCCGCTGGGCGCAGAGTCTCCCCTCACGGCGAGAGTAGCGCGCGGCGCCCCCACCCCGCCTTCCGGCCGCGCTGGGTCCTAGCGCCCGAGGGCTGCTTCTTTCTCCTCCCATCCCCGTCTTTTCTAGGTCAGAGCCCACAAGGGGGCGAGAACGAGGTTAGAGAGGAGTCGGGGGAGTCTGAGAGGGTCACCTGGTCCAGCCTCCTGGCTCCTGCGGGACCAGACTGCCCCAGACTGTCCCAGTCTGTTCTTGTGGGGCGGAGCCTGTCTTTTTCAAGGAGGGAAACATCTAAACCCTGCAATCCGATGTAAATTCATCCATCCATCCATCCATCCATCCATGGGAGCAGAACGTCAGAGAACTAACTCAGGAAAGTACTTAGGAAAGAGGTTGTAAACTGGGGCCTTGAAGGTCATGTCCAGCCCAGGTTGCGTTTTTGACCACGGTTGTAAACAGGTAGTGGTTAGTCATGGGATGCAGCTGGGATTCACAGTGCTCACCAGATACAAGGGAAGAAAGGGGATTCCAGGCAGCGCCATGTGCAAAGGCACTACCCAGGTATGAAGGACTATCGTCTGTTTGGTAACTGGAAATTGTGACCTGGAAGGAAGTGGGGTGGATGAGGATGGAGATGAGATGGGGGCAGCTCAGCCTCCCAGGCCCTATTTTCCTCTTTCTCAGCCTCACCCACACTGTTTCCCTGAAGAGAAAACCCCTAACACCCCCTGCACCTTCCCTATTTGTCCACCCAGCACACTCTTCCCAACCACTGCCCGCCCCCGGCCGCCCCCCGACTGTTTCTAGAAGTTTTAGAGCCAGGGATTGCAAACTCAAGTACTTGTAGGTAATATAGTGACTGGGGTCAGGTGTAACGTGATAGGGAATGGTGGAGATGAAGCAAACGAGCATCATGGGCCCTGGGTGGACAGATGATTTTTCAAGCAGGAAATCCATATTCTAACATACAATTGTCCAACTTTTAAATGTTTGAAACTAATTCCCCAAATTCAAAAATACCGAATGGGCCAAATGAAACATTCTTTGGGGCCAAATCTGGCCCGTGGGCCGTCGGTTTGCAACCTCTGCTGGGGAGAATATTGCCTTACTTCCTAACTTGTCTCCCTCCAGCCTCTATTGAAACTTAAAAAAAAAAAAGAGTCCAAGTCTATGTGATCATCAGCTCCGTAAAGTACAAAGTAGATTGGGTTGCTCCCCTACATAAAATTGTCAATAACTCCCTGTTACCGCCAGGGTGAAATTCTAACCTTATCCGGGCATCCCAAGCCCTTAGCCTTTGGGGCCTCCTACCTTTCCCCTGCTGAGGCCCCCTCTTCTCCATTCAGCCTTGACCTCAGCCGGTATTCCTAGAACGTCTGCTCTCTTGTACCTCTGTGCCTTTATACATTTTGTTTTCTCTGCCTCGAACATCTTTCCCCTCTTCTTTGTACTCCAAACAGCTTTCCTCCAAGATACCTCCTGTATGTCTGTCTACCTTTCCTCTCTGCTCCCTGTCCTGGCAATGTTCCCGAGTTTCAAATTTCATTCGGTGTTCTGATCCTCTCCAAGTAAGGCCTATTGTCCCAAACAAATGAATGGAGGGGTTTGAGTTATTGGGCAGGTAGTAGAGGGAAACTAGAGAAAGAAGGAAGGGAATGTCTTCCTTCATCTAACAAATGAGTCCCAGAACATTAGCATTTAGAGAGTAGTTCCTCTTTTTACAGGTGGGGAAACTGAGGTCTAGAGAGGAGCAGAGGTAGAATCAGGCCTTGAAATTCTCCCAGCTATGGTTATCAAGGGTAGTGCTGTTCAAGGCCACTTTCCGAAGAAGCCTTCCCTGATTCTTCAACTGGGGATTTGATTCCCACCCCTGTGATTAGTAAAGCTTTGCCAAAATGCATTGTGGGTAATCAACACCCCCGCTCCAGCTCTGCAGGGAGGGAAGTCTTGGTCCCCAAAGGGGGCACACTCTTACCAGGGGACACAGCAAAGGTCCTATTAAAATTTAAGCTATGGCTGCTTGCCAGGGTACTCTGGACTCCGTGTGTTCTGGGACCAGCAGGCAAGAAGAGGAGTCACTGTCCTGGCAGAAGTAACTGACCCTCATTAGTTATTAGAAGTTACTAGAAGTACCCTGATCAGTTACTAGAACAAGGCAGGGCTGCTTTTACAAAGTGGGAGCAGAGAGAAATACATGTGGAACCCAGTGATCCATTGAAGTGATCCATTGGTTATGATAACTAAGAGTTTAGACCCCTCAGGACTGAAGGGTTGGGTCACACCGTCCGGTGACCCATCAAGACCTGCCAATGTAACAGTTGAGGGTATGGATAATTGAGAATGGATGGTGGAAGGGGAATGGGAAGAGTACCAGTTATGTCCCTGAGATCAAGTGCAGCAGAAGGGAGGGGAGCTGTAGTTGGTTCCACTGATCTCCCTTTTCAAAGTTTCCCCTTAGAAAGAGAGGCTCATGACATCCACAGAAGAGCCATGTGGCACAAGGGGTGGGATGTGGCAGCCCTGAGAGTGCACCACCCAGATCTCTGACTGCAGGGATGGTGACTCTGAGGGCAGCAGCTGTGGAGTCTGCAGGGTTCACAGAGAAGGCTCCTTTGCTTCCCTCCAGCCCATCCCAGCCAAAGACTGAGTGCAGCAAAGACTCTTAAAGCACCCAGTTCCTGGGAGATACAGGGCTTCTCTGATGGGCAACTTGACATCAAGGACTCTCCATTGGATTTGTCGGAACTTCCTTAACATTGCACTGCAATCTAAGACTCTTCCTATCCCACCTTCCTTCCTTTCTTTCCCTTTTCCAAATATTGGATCTATTTCAGTCTGACAGTTCTCCCAGCCTCCTCTGGCTCCTTCCCTATGTTCCCGCCCAAGCATTTTCCCCAATAAATCTCTTGCATATCTGACCCTGTCTTGGCCCACTTCTTGGAGGACTGAACCAATACAACGTATGCGAAGAGAGGAACTAAAGCAGCTGTGTGTAACGCTGCAGCCCTTTTTCCCTGACGCCCAGAGATAATCCACTCTGGCCAGCTCACATTTTGCACCCACAGCAAATGCTGCCTTTGCAAGAGAGGGTCTTGATGGGTGTCACTTGGATAGCAGGACACAAACGTAAACCTTAACTGTCACCTCCATAGCGACACGGGAGGAACACTGGAAAACAGAGACCTCCACTGAGGTTTCCTCTGCCCACACCCCTCTCCAATGCTGACATGTCCTCATGGTCTCGGACAGTCCGTTGCTGCTCCCTGCACAGGGAAGCATGTGAGACCTGGAACCACAGGACTTTTGATGATTTTGCATTTTTCCCTTGGCTGCATTTTCTATTCATTGATGTGTCAGAAATTTCTGTTACTGTTGGGGGAAACAGGGAAGGAATTGAGAGTCCCTGTCCTCTAGAATCTACATAATGTTTCAAACTATATCGGTTTGGGTACCTCTACCAGCTGCACTGAAAGGGCTCTGTTGAGACCTTGTCTTGGCCGTGTTGATCATCTCCATCAATGAACAATGACGGCCTTTGGGGGTTTTCCCCAGTGTACTCTATGTTCTATGATGGTCCTTATTGCATCTGGCCCCAGTCATGACCGGGAGAAGACGTTCCTGGCTTGTTGGTCTGCATTATGATCGTCTTGTACAGGAATAATTTCCTCCCCCGGAGGGCCACCATCATGCCCAGGACATTGCTGCTGGCGACTGGCTCACGCAGCACGATCAGGGGCCCTGGTGGCATTGGTGACTGAGTAGCTCAGAGAGCTGATCAGACTTAGGATGCCAAAGACAATGCCATTTGGGGCAAAGGTACAGAAGCTGCCCACAGCCAGGAGCGGGAGCATTCAGGGCCGCTGGGAGACACAGGTCAAGTTATAGATGATAAGGAAAACCAAGAATCCACCTGAACCCACAATGGACCAGAAAGCAGACAGCAGGGCAGCCCCAGCTGTATGGCAGCTGGAGGCGATGGATCTTTGAATCTCTCAACACCTTTTCAGAGAAAATATTCTGAAGTGAGAAACACAGTGTGTTCTAGCAAGAGTCCTGATGGGCTCTCCACCTCCCGGGTCGAAATACAACTCTGTGTCCACGGCCAGCAGGATGCCACTGATGATGGGAAGTACAGAGTGATGGTAGTGCAGAGAGGAAAGAACCCTCTTCTTTGTGACACCTCAGAGCTGCTGAGTTGTACTTGGAGCTGCTTTGAAGGGAATTCTGTCCCTTGCAGCTGAAAGCGTGCCAACTGATTTGAGAAGACTAACTGTGGTTGCCCTTGGGGATGGAGTCCAGGAAATGGGACTGGGGCAGGGACAGATCACGGGAATTCACCTTTGCCTGTCATGTTTTATTATTTTTTTATTGAAAACATCTGACACAAATATGATAAAATGTTAACATTGATTCTAGTTGCGGATATGCACAGGGTTACACTTTTCTCTATTTTTTTAAACTTTTTTTTCAAAATAATTAAAAATTAGTGGGAGCGTTTTTAAATGGGATCTTGAAAAAAGAGAGGAAAAAATAATTTTTTCACTGTGTGACTGTTTTCTAAAGCCAGGTCTAAGAACCATCTGAAATGATCTCATCTCTCGCTCTCTGAGGAGCACGGGAATGAGTAGTACATTTGGCTCCCTGGCCCCCTGCCACCTGCTCATGGCGGATCTGAACGCCTGTGTTCCTTAGGGATGGATGTGGCTGTTTCTCTGGGACATAGTGGAGTGAGGATCTGATAGGTCTTTGCCCCTCCCCCACCATGCTTACTGCAGGGGACCTGGGAGCATCTTCAGAACAGAGGCTACTCAGAGCCTTGTCAGTCTCTGTTCCTTCCTCAGGGATGGGTCACCAAAGCCAGCCCCAGGAATGTAATAGACATTTGAAAGGAAGAAAGT